GTGGATAACTGAAAATTTGGCGCAAAAGAAACAGTCAAGCGAGCCAAATGGAAGCCGGACAGAATCAAAATCAGCAGATTTGCAATCAAGCCGCAGCAAATGCACCGAACGTTGAGCCTCAACCGTCGGTCTTCAAACTGGACATCGATTGCTGGGACGAAGTACTCGATTGCCTGTCGTTGGAGGATGTTCACTCGTTTGGTCAAACATGCAAGGCTTTTCAACGTGTCACCGGCGAATATTTTCAATGGAAATATGTGGATGCTTCCGCTCTTTCCTACGGACATGGTATTTACATCAATTTCAGAAGAATGAATGGTTTCAACGAATTTGTCCAAAACATTCAGTTCTGTCAGGTCACACGCAATTCAGCGTTTCATTACACTGCAACCAAATGCAAAGCTGAAATCAAGGAGTTCATGCTTGTCGACGTTGATCTCAATCAGATGGACATCAAGATAATCGAAAAACGTTTGGAAAAAGTCGTCAGCCTCCAAGTAATGCGCTGCAAATTCGATGAAGACATTTGGCGGACGCTTTTCGAATCGTGCACGAACTTGAAGCGACTAAGATTCTGGACCAATTTTGATACATCGTTTGCTTGGCCAGTTCGAAAACATCCAACACTCGAACACCTGGAATTGTGTACGATTAGCACAATTGACAGCCAAAAATTGAAGAATTTTCTCGACCATTGCCCAAATCTTCGAAGCCTTCAAATCAGTGCAAATGTGCTATGGGACAATCAAGATTTAATTTGCAATACCAAAGTTGATGACTTGGCCATTGATATGAACGAAGACATCGATACCACCATTGGTTTCTTGAATAACCTTCATGAGAAAGGCTTCTTCAAAAGATTGCATTTTAGATCTGAACGCAACAGCACAACATCAGCTGAACAAATACTTTCGTTGCCCGGACTCGTTACGCTGTACATTTATCCGAACGAAAATGAAAATCCGGAATTTCCCGTTTTGCCCAGCATCAAAGAGATTGGAATCATCAATCGCTTTGAAAGGCACATCAACACGGATGCCATGGTCAACAGTTTCATCAATCTGGAGCAGCTTTTCATCATCGGCTCACGCGATTTGCTGCCATTCATTCGTCGATCGATAAAATTAAAAGACGTTGAAATCGCTGATTTCGAAGGAGAAGTTCTCGACATCGCTGCACTGAACAAGGAACGCAAAAAGTTGGTAGGAGCACGCAAGGTGACCATTTACGTCAATGAACGTATTTATTTGGCAACAAAATGGGCAACCTCAGATACGTCGTTGGAAATGATTGAATTAAAACGGCAATCATCACGGGACATCATTGGTCCGCACAGCTTTTGGCAAATATTCCGATAGTTTGATCATCTTGACTCTTACGAATCTTTTTCCCAAATTTTTTTTATTATTCCGGAAAACTGAAAAAAATCTGCTGTCGTTCAAAAAATCAATCGTAGGAAGAAATCACCTAAATCTTTTCCGGACCCTCTATTATCTCCATAATTTCAAAAAAAAACAGTACAGTTTAGTAAATAGAGAAAGACCAAATAAACATGGAAAATTCTATCAAAATGTATTTTTGTTCAATATCTCTTCTTGGCAATGGCGCGAATTACTACTGAAAACCGGTTTTCAGTACTTTTCAGTACCTGCGATCGATTTTCAGTAGCGGTTCAGTTTTTTCAGTACTTAGTAAATATAGGACTTTTATTGCAGTTCAGTATTGTCAAAATTTCTTGACACTTGTGTTTAATGTTTGTTTTTTAGAATTCGAAATGGAAATTGAATGTATTTTATCAAAAATAAAGTCCACTTATATTTCAATTAGAAAAGTCTAAAGACATAATAAAGTAACTGACATCAGAAAAGAGTGATTTATATCGAAAATATATGTCTGGCAATTTTCGTCGAATGAAAATTTCTATGACATTGATGTGTGTATCATCAACTCTTTGAAATGTCAGTGCATCTCTGAAACCACGAAGACTAAAACCAAACAAAATTGGAATGGATTTTTTACACAAATTCTTTTCGGCGTATTTTTATTTCCAAACTACTGAATGTCGTATTTTTATAGTTTGGCACTTGTGTAGACAAATCTTTTTCAATTTTTTCCAAAATTCTACCTCAATATCAATTTTTAAACTGTATGGCGTTAATTATATAAGTCAAGTGTCATAGTTTGACGTATTCAATGCATAAACTGACACTGAAGTACTGAAAACCGGTTTTCACTACTTTTCTGTATCAAGAAAACAAATTTCAGTAGTTTTCAGTACTTTCAGTCAATTCAGTAGCGATTCGCCCCTTGCTTCTTGGTCAGTTTTACAGTAAATGCCATGTATTTTCTTTGTTTTTGCAGTTCGCATTGCATGAAATGAATCGATAGAATCCTTTCCTTACAAAAACACTATGAATACAAACCATAATAAATATGAATATCCATGCAGTAACAAAACAAAACCAGAACAACAACTCTATTATTTTAAATTTTGGCATGAAAATGAACATCCAGATCCGAAACCAACTTCAAGCCATTTGACATCAAACCCCAAATGTCAACGAATCGTCGTTCTGCTGCGCAGTTTCATTCTCAAAGCGTCACTGTTTGCTTAGCACACAATCATCTGAGGGTGAGTACGATATTTTTCGCTTTGACTGAAATTTTTGGCGAATTTCTTACAAAAATATATGGAAACGCTTTCTTAAAGTTAGTTGAAAGTAATGGCAGACAGAGAACACCGTCCATTTTCCATATTAAACCAATTTTCCATCCGTTCAGTATTGAATGTTCTACATGCTCGTGTTATTCATTTGATGTAATTTCATAATAAAAAATTAAAGTGTCGTCAATAAATTCCAATGAGGATGTGGCTTTTGGCAATAAAATTGAGAAGGAATTGAACATGTTGATTGTTGATATCTAAAAATGTGAAATAAATAGCGCCAGTGCATTATCATAAATCAGAGATTGTGTATTTGCTGCTGAGTAGGCCTGAGCTGAGCGAAATTTGCTGACTCCGGCGCCTGAAGCCATAGGGGTATTGCAACGACCATAAAATATGTGTATTTCATCAAGTTTATTAAGATCTTTCCAAGTTTATGCATAGTGTCGAACTTTTGTTCAAGCTCTACCATCTAAATGTACAGTGAAATAATTTACGGGCACGACGTAAGATAGTGTTTTTTCTGGTCAAAAAAGTTGCAATATCTCTTCGCCTGAAGCGTTATTTTAACGCATTCACAGTGAGATGATGTCACTGATATCAAAGATCACGGAAAGAAACGTGCATTTTTGATATCAGTGACATCATCTCACCGTGAATGCGTTAAAATAACGCTTCAGGCAAAGAGATATTGCAACTTTTTTGACCAGAAAAAACACTATCTTACGTCGTGCCCGTAAATTATTTCACTGTACATTTAGATGGTAGAGCTTGAACAAAAGTTCGACACTATGCATAAACTTGGAAAGATCTTAATAAACTTGATGAAATACACATATTTTATGGTCGTTGCAATACCCCTATGGCTTCAGGCGCCGGAGTCAGCAAATTTCGCTCAGCTCAGGCCTACTCAGCAGCAAATACACAATCTCTGATTTATGATAATGCACTGGCGCTATTTATTTCACATTTTTAGATATCAACAATCAACATGTTCAATTCCTTCTCAATTTTATTGCCAAAAGCCACATCCTCATTGGAATTTATTGACGACACTTTAATTTTTTATTATGAAATTACATCAAATGAATAACACGAGCATGTAGAACATTCAATACTGAACGGATGGAAAATTGGTTTAATATGGAAAATGGACGGTGTTCTCTGTCTGCCATTACTTTCAACTAACTTTAAGAAAGCGTTTCCATATATTTTTGTAAGAAATTCGCCAAAAATTTCAGTCAAAGCGAAAAATATCGTACTCACCCTCAGATGATTGTGTGCTAAGCAAACAGTGACGCTTTGAGAATGAAACTGCGCAGCAGAACGACGATTCGTTGACATTTGGGGTTTGATGTCAAATGGCTTGAAGTTGGTTTCGGATCTGGATGTTCATTTTCATGCCAAAATTTAAAATAATAGAGTTGTTGTTCTGGTTTTGTTTTGTTACTGCATGGATATTCATATTTATTATGGTTTGTATTCATAGTGTTTTTGTAAGGAAAGGATTCTATCGATTCATTTCATGCAATGCGAACTGCAAAAACAAAGAAAATACATGGCATTTACTGTAAAACTGACCAAGAAGCAAGGGGCGAATCGCTACTGAATTGACTGAAAGTACTGAAAACTACTGAAATTTGTTTTCTTGATACAGAAAAGTAGTGAAAACCGGTTTTCAGTACTTCAGTGTCAGTTTATGCATTGAATACGTCAAACTATGACACTTGACTTATATAATTAACGCCATACAGTTTAAAAATTGATATTGAGGTAGAATTTTGGAAAAAATTGAAAAAGATTTGTCTACACAAGTGCCAAACTATAAAAATACGACATTCAGTAGTTTGGAAATAAAAATACGCCGAAAAGAATTTGTGTAAAAAATCCATTCCAATTTTGTTTGGTTTTAGTCTTCGTGGTTTCAGAGATGCACTGACATTTCAAAGAGTTGATGATACACACATCAATGTCATAGAAATTTTCATTCGACGAAAATTGCCAGACATATATTTTCGATATAAATCACTCTTTTCTGATGTCAGTTACTTTATTATGTCTTTAGACTTTTCTAATTGAAATATAAGTGGACTTTATTTTTGATAAAATACATTCAATTTCCATTTCGAATTCTAAAAAACAAACATTAAACACAAGTGTCAAGAAATTTTGACAATACTGAACTGCAATAAAAGTCCTATATTTACTAAGTACTGAAAAAACTGAACCGCTACTGAAAATCGATCGCAGGTACTGAAAAGTACTGAAAACCGGTTTTCAGTAGTAATTCGCGCCATTGCCAAGAAGAGATATTGAACAAAAATACATTTTGATAGAATTTTCCATGTTTATTTGGTCTTTCTCTATTTACTAAACTGTACTGTTTTTTTTTGAAATTATGGAGATAATAGAGGGTCCGGAAAAGATTTAGGTGATTTCTTCCTACGATTGATTTTTTGAACGACAGCAGATTTTTTTCAGTTTTCCGGAATAATAAAAAAAATTTGGGAAAAAGATTCGTAAGAGTCAAGATGATCAAACTATCGGAATATTTGCCAAAAGCTGTGCGGACCAATGATGTCCCGTGATGATTGCCGTTTTAATTCAATCATTTCCAACGACGTATCTGAGGTTGCCCATTTTGTTGCCAAATAAATACGTTCATTGACGTAAATGGTCACCTTGCGTGCTCCTACCAACTTTTTGCGTTCCTTGTTCAGTGCAGCGATGTCGAGAACTTCTCCTTCGAAATCAGCGATTTCAACGTCTTTTAATTTTATCGATCGACGAATGAATGGCAGCAAATCGCGTGAGCCGATGATGAAAAGCTGCTCCAGATTGATGAAACTGTTGACCATGGCATCCGTGTTGATGTGCCTTTCAAAGCGATTGATGATTCCAATCTCTTTGATGCTGGGCAAAACGGGAAATTCCGGATTTTCATTTTCGTTCGGATAAATGTACAGCGTAACGAGTCCGGGCAACGAAAGTATTTGTTCAGCTGATGTTGTGCTGTTGCGTTCAGATCTAAAATGCAATCTTTTGAAGAAGCCTTTCTCATGAAGGTTATTCAAGAAACCAATGGTGGTATCGATGTCTTCGTTCATATCAATGGCCAAGTCATCAACTTTGGTATTGCAAATTAAATCTTGATTGTCCCATAGCACATTTGCACTGATTTGAAGGCTTCGAAGATTTGGGCAATGGTCGAGAAAATTCTTCAATTTTTGGCTGTCAATTGTGCTAATCGTACACAATTCCAGGTGTTCGAGTGTTGGATGTTTTCGAACTGGCCAAGCAAACGATGTATCAAAATTGGTCCAGAATCTTAGTCGCTTCAAGTTCGTGCACGATTCGAAAAGCGTCCGCCAAATGTCTTCATCGAATTTGCAGCGCATTACTTGGAGGCTGACGACTTTTTCCAAACGTTTTTCGATTATCTTGATGTCCATCTGATTGAGATCAACGTCGACAAGCATGAACTCCTTGATTTCAGCTTTGCATTTGGTTGCAGTGTAATGAAACGCTGAATTGCGTGTGACCTGACAGAACTGAATGTTTTGGACAAATTCGTTGAAACCATTCATTCTTCTGAAATTGATGTAAATACCATGTCCGTAGGAAAGAGCGGAAGCATCCACATATTTCCATTGAAAATATTCGCCGGTGACACGTTGAAAAGCCTTGCATGTTTGACCAAACGAGTGAACATCCTCCAACGACAGGCAATCGAGTACTTCGTCCCAGCAATCGATGTCCAGTTTGAAGACCGACGGTTGAGGCTCAACGTTCGGTGCATTTGCTGCGGCTTGATTGCAAATCTGCTGATTTTGATTCTGTCCGGCTTCCATTTGGCTCGCTTGACTGTTTCTTTTGCGCCAAATTTTCAGTTATCCACACTACTTCAGGTGTTTTTTCTTGAATTCTGTGAATAGAGAGAAAATTGTTGAAATGAATTAATTTTTCTGTGTCCTGTGGGTCAAAAATTGTCTGACTTATTAAAATTAAAAAGACAAAAGATACCGATTACACTATGTTTAATTACTTAGCCGTCGAATTGTCTTCGAAGCCAATAGATACACTCGTTGAATTGGTGGTCGAGGCACAAGTTCTAGAGTCTAGTTACATTCAATTTTATATATTTTTGACACAAAGTCTCTAATTTTTCTAGTTTTGATGCAAAATCGCTGATATTGTGCTAATATTTCTAGTAGAATCGGTTGCAATCTTCTATTTTTCCTATTATCGATTTGTGACGGCACAGTTAGTTTTAGTTGAGATTCATTTCGATTTTCGATCGAAATATGAAGAAAAATGCTGGCACAATTGCATTTCATTGAGTATATGGTGCATTCGTGACGGCGCAGTTAGTTTTACTGAAGATTCATTTCGATTTTCGGTCGAAATATGAAGAAAAATGCTGGCACAATTGCATTTCATTGAGTA